GTGTACTCATACTCATAGTCGTGCATGCCGTAGTCGTTAGACCATTGACCTCGCATCCCTACAAAGCCGGGACGGAGCACGCCGGGTTCTCACCGGACCAGGGGGGGGGTGTTTTCGTCCTATTCATTATGGCGACAGTTCCCCCATTTTTCTGGTGAGACGTGTACTACACTTTTCAGCGTATGTAGAGTACAACACTTTTCAGTGTATTTTTTCGTACAACTACAACCATCCAGGGTCACACAGGAGGGGGTAAAAACCAGGGCTTTTTTCTTCTTTGTATTCCTTTTCGTACCCCACCTTCCTCCTGCGGTGCGTGCTGAATTTTATTTTTATCGCGGGAAGGGTCCAGCCGTCCCTTTCCCTCGTCAAAGGTGCTAACGTCGAAGTTTGGTACTCACGAGAGCTTGTCAGCTATATTTCGCTTTCACCCGCACATTTCGTAAATTTTTCACCCCATGGGGATTCGAACTCACGACTTCTGCGACCAGCGGATTACGAGGATACCCAGGAAAAGAGTCGAACATATGAGCAATGACATTGATAGCGTCAGAGAAAGCTACCTGTATTCCTTATTCTTGAAACAAAGAAGGACAGACCCAGCATCAGGGCTGGGGTTTCTATTGTTCCGCCGCAAACCTTGGTTGAACGTCGTACTCTTTACTCCGGAGTTTGGAGTGCGGGAGCATGGGAGGTGTTATTTTGAATGCTTAGACTATGCATACTCACGGGCATTGTGCATACATATGCATACATGCGCCGAACGTTTGTGCGAGCGTGTACGCAAGAGTATTCCAAAATTTCCGTTTTCACCTACTATACTATGCAGACGTCCTGCAGATTTGGGCGCAGCGGATGGAGGCATGAACGCGCGTACAAAAGTAGGGCAAGAGGAACAAAGCGAGTATTCATCCACACGTTGTTCACACGCATATGCACATAATACCTTCCTTTCTTTGTCGCATCTGATCTGGGCACGCTCTCAACCTGGTTCCAGCGCATATACCGCTCACTGCTGAGTGCCCGCCCCCCCCCCCG